GTGTCATCTGCAAACTTACTAACCATACCTCCTATGTTCACATCCAAATCATTTATATAAATGACAAAAAGCAGGGACCAAGCACCGATCCTTGTGGCACACTGCTGGTCACACTCGGATGACTTCGCTGATTTCTGCTCAGATCCACTATCAGTGTGCAGACCCGTGAGCATCTGCGATCAGTTTGAACTGAATAGAAGCAAGAGAGAGGTCATATTCTTTGGGAACTGGGCTAACACATCCTTTTATCTCCTTCACCGTCATGACGATTACCTGAAGTTGCAGGGAATATGGCTTGGAGAGGCCATGGCTTGTGCAAAAAAAATTGGGAGGAGCATATTGCCAATATGAAGCAGAAACTGGGTTCTTGCGATTACTGCTCCCTCTTCATAGTGGATAAAAACCTGGTCATCAGGTGTGAGATACTCTCAGTGTTGTTATACATGGCACAGGTCTAGCCCATTCCCAGAACCTATGCCATTGCAGTCATCAGAACTATCTTCTACTTCATCTGGAGGTCCAAGATGGACCATATCCACAGGGACAGTATGCACAAAGCTTCAAGCAAGTTGGGGGGAAGAACGTTCCCAATGCCTCCCTCATCCTGATGTGTGCCGACTCCCACAGCTACCTAGACTGCTCACTGCCCTCGAAGCAGCTGTCGGGAGATAGAGACTGTCACACATCTTCTGCTGGAATGTGCCTTTGCAAAGGAAGTTTGGAGACAGATGCTGTGGTTTTGGATGAGGTACGTTCTGAGCAGTTTTGTGACGCAGAACTCTGTACTCCAGGCCGCATACCGAGGCAAACATCGACTAAGCCTAGAGGACCATTAACTCGGAGAATGCCTTCCTCATCCTGATGTGTGCAGCTGCATCAAGCTCTGTATATACCCTCGGTATGCAAACACCAAGTGTCATTACGTACTGAGGTTCTACCTGTCACTTATAGAATGGGACTGGCCTCATTGTCGTGGAACGCTCCAAGTAGTTGGACCGTTTCATATCACGTCTTCCATAGAGAAATTTGCAGAAAATATACCTTTGATCAGCAGGAGTTGTCAATACGTAGAGTCCTCGAGACTCTGCAGGAAAAGCGTCCTGCCAGGTTGTTCCCTGAACAGACTGTCAAAGTCATTTGGCAGAATGCCTCCTCACCAAAACTTCCCGACAAGCACCAAGATGTAGAGTGACTGGTGGTGAGAAGAGCACTACCCTTCAGATCCTTCACATATGCCTGGTCTCTGATACCTCTCTCTCCTTTCTGGACCTCTCTGCCTCCACCTCTGGTAACCACCTGGAAACTGATATCTATTTCAAGCCAACTCCCACAGCTACCTAGACTGCTCACTGCCCTCGAAGCAGCTGTCGGGAGATAGAGACTGTCACACACCTTCTGCTGGAATGTGCCTTTGCAAAGGAAGTTTGGAGAGAGATGCTGTGGTTTTGGATGAGGTACGTTCTGAGCAGTTTTGTGACGCAGAACTCTGTACTCCAGGCCGCATACCGAGGCAAATATTGACTAAGCCTAGAGGACCATTAACTCGGAGAAAGGCGCTTGTTGGTTTTCCAGTGTAAGGAGTTGACCTCGACCATTTGTTGCAGACTGGCACATTCCAGTGTCCAGGACTACGTGCTGAGGGACGCACTAAAGCTTGGACCACCAAGGGGCATTGGGGAAAGACCACCATCTAAGGTTTTTCCGCTGAAGTATAATGGGAGCCTGTTGAGTTATTGGACCTTCCTAGTGCCTCAAATGTACGTAAATAGTATCTTGCCTGAGTAAGAAATGCCTTTGGGTTTTTGGAACTGTCAGGAAAGTCAAACTTGAATGTTTGTTCTCCATTTGCAAAGACTGTCCAGGACCAAACTGCTCTAGTGGCTATGTTTGTATATAAAGTTTTTTTAATGAATAAAACATATTTTTGAAATGAAAAGAAACCTACTAGATTCAGCTAGGTCCAATGAATTGCAGCTCCATCATTCAGCTACCAACAATCTATCAATCAGGACTCATATGAACATTTATAGTTTCACCTCACTGTCACATCTATTTTAGCTGGAGGCCTCAGCTTGCAAATGCTACTAGCTATTCAATCACGGCAAGCATATCTGCTGAACAATTGCGTGACACCCATTGACATCCGTCTTTCTTGCAGTGGAAGGTGACACGTAACTGCAGAAAGCAGAACCTTATAGGACAAGCACATCTACATGCCCTTACTGCCATGGAAGATGGCACCATCACTGGCCAGCCACAAGGCTTAAACCATCGAAGATGATGGTATGTTCATACTATTTCTCTTTCTCAAATTCCATTAACCACCCCACAGCCTTATCAGAGTTATAACCTGTAGATAGCCTTACTTTCCCTATTCACTACTACCTTATTTGCGTGCCTTTCTCCTTTCAAATGAACGGTATCTTGGCTTGGCAATGGTGGAAGAACAGGAAGACAATGTTGAAGAACTATTGTCACTCACTCCCACACTCAGACCCTCCAGCTCATAGATTGAGCAGAAACAATATCTTCAAGACAGGATCTGCACACGTTGTGAGGCAGCAGGCATGAATGCCTGCAGCCAGGGCAGATGTCTAGGGTAGCACAAGTTGACAGCTCAGATGAAGACAAATTTGCACATTGGTTCTGCCGTAGATGAAGACACTGGACATTTTGTAGGGTTGATGAACATGCACACTAAATGTTTGGATTATTTGCAGGCCTATCAGAAAACCTACCATTGCTCTCAAGGAGCCTGGAGGAGTCTGGCAACAATTGGTAGAGAATTTTGCCTAGAGGATGGTGCCTGTCCTTTCCAGCGTGGAAACTCCATGAGAGCAGTTGCAGACGCAACTTTGATGTTCTGATCGCTGATGTGTCAGCTTTCATTAGAACACAGGCACAAGCCACCCAATGTCTGAAAGAGGCACTGCAAATTCAAATTGGAATGATTGAAGCTCAGCTTGCTGCCACAAAAGTTCTGAATGTTGTTATCATTAGCTGTGGATACTGGTGTGTAAAGGGACTTGAAGGATCTCAAGCAGTCCTGCAATCTGTCCTACGACACATTACTATGATTGCAGAGATGCCATCCTCTGGGAGTGGCAGTAGCATTGTGAAGCACGAACCTACTGTCTCAGAATGACAGTATTTGCTCATCCACCCTGTCATGCCAGCAATGCGCCCCCGGTGTTGCCTGTCAGACAACCAGCTCATGCTGTCATCTATGCCAGTTACAAAAATGCTGTCGCTACAAAAACAGATCAGACACTAGAAATTCTGCAGTGAGTAGCTCATCACCTAACTCCCCAAAACCTGTGCATCATCTATAAGTGTACAAGAAAGGAGTATGATAGAATATGCTCCATTGCCTAGTTGAGTGTGGCTCCAACAACACTCTCAAAGCTCCCACAAAGCAGCCCACTTGATCACCAGCTTATCTATCATCTTAACTGTTTACTTTTCTCACCACTAACACACTTTAGCAACACTGTGTAACCTGTGCAAGATGCATTGCAGGAGATTGCCAAATCTCCTTTAACAACTCCTTCCAGACCTGCATAGTCTACCAGCTAGAAAGACGAGCAACTGACGTAGAGAACACCAGCATCTGCAAGTTTCTCTCTGAGCACACTGCATCCTGACTTGGAATTATATTGCCATTCCTTCACTATCAATGGGTCAAAATTCCGGAGCTTTACCTTTTATCAGATGTACTGCAGCAGTTCAAGGAACTGAGTCACCCCAGCTTTGAAGGGCAGTTAGGGTTGAACAACAAAGATGGACCTTGCCAATGATGTCACTATCTCATGAATGACTTTAAACAAAAGTTAAATCACCTTGTCTGAAAGTTAAATGATGATTTATTTCAATAGTTATAGTCACGATGTTTCTCGATGATAAATGACAGGTTAGATACTAATTCATCCATAGGCAGTGACTGACATCACAGTCTTCCCACTGCATCTTTTTGGTGCATGCACTGGATACCCTCTATATCACCTTTCTGAGCTTTGAAATCAGTATCGACCATTCCAAAAGTTGGCAGCTCGCTACTTCCAACACCACTACAGAGCTAAATTTTGCAACCAATATATTTTTGTAAAAGATTAATAATTATATTAATTTTTGCAGCCAAACTTACCAGCCTTTTGTGGTCTGGTTGAAACTGCAGTCTCTGGTCCTACTTCTCTTCCAAAGTAGCATGCTTGTTTCCTTTCCGAGTACAATTGCTACTTTTTTAATCAAAGTTAATCACGTAATATTTGCTGAAATCAAATTATCTTTTGCCATTTTCCCCATATCAACATTTTTTTGAGGTTTTGTTTAATGTTTCAAACAAATTAACTATACTTCCTTTTGTGATATCATTTGCAAACTTACGCACCACTTCTTTTTACTTTGAGACTATAAAATTGATAAATTCATTGAACAGAAGCGTTCTCCAATAGATCATTTCTGTTTACTTCCAGCCACAAGCACAGTGTGAATCATAGGTTTCATAATAGTGACAAAGGTAAAGATGGATTTCAACAGCTTGAATATGTGAGCTCACTCCATATCTATAAATGTCATTACCAATAGGCAGAATGTGGATATGAAGCACCCTTCTCGGGAAGTACAAGCATGAATACAAGTAAAGAATGTGTCAGAATATCAGTTTCCTACTTCAGAATGTAAAGATTCATGATTTTATTAACTTTTCTGGCTCAGACACTTCTAAATGATCCAAAGTCAAACATATCTGTGTGTTTTCCATTTTGAACTGCAATTTGTGTACAGTTTGCAAATATGTATGAGTTATCAAGTTACTTGTGTAAGTTTTTAAGCGATAGCAGAAAACTATGAATATAAATACTACCTATAAATACTAAATGTAATAATAAATAAATGGCTTATCTATTGTACAAGGATCTATTTTGTTTTAAATAGTAACTTTTATAGCTAATTTTAAAAAACCACCTTTGTGGCTGTGATATAACTTGCTGTCATCTTTACAGATGAATGATGCCATGGGATATGAATTACCTTGGGTCTATTTTGTCAGTCTCGTCATCTTTGGATCTTTTTTCGTTCTTAATCTTGTACTTGGTGTATTGAGCGGGTAAGCTTCCACTTCATTTTGCCGGAATGCAAAGCCCTAAATCCAGTTACCATGTTGGACTTCTGGAAAGACAGAAAAAATTTTGTATGATGGTTCTGCACACCAAAGGAAAATTATGTTAGTGAACAACTAGTTCTCATTAAAAATGTAATCTTTCCTAATTATTATTTTACATTACTGTCGGAGCAAAAAATGAATAAAATTGCAAAAACCCTTTAGGTTGATACAGATTACCCAAGGACCAAAGTGACTGGCTGAAGGGCTTTGCCATATTAAATTTCATAATACCATAACAGCCCTTCTCCATTTTTTCAGGTTAATGATGCAGTTGGATTAGAATGGCCATGGATATATTTTGTTAGCCTAATCATCCTTGGCTCATTTTTTGTACTTAACCTCGTTCTTGGTGTACTAAGTGGGTAAGCTGCTGAGTTATATGAACCTGCCTCTGTTCCATTAGAGATGCTTGCTCTTATTTAAACAAATGCTCTTTGCATGCATTTTGAGAGATTGTGCATCAGTTTTGTTTGTAGGTTGTTTTTTAACGGGTGAGCATGCATGGTACAGTGAATTGAGAGCAAGCTGTGACACTGTTTAATCTGAGGTAACAAATACCTATTGCTTATTATGAGATAATGCATCTGGAACAGTTAACTGCATGTTATCTTTAAATGTAAGATATCTATCTTTTACATTAAACTTTGGTATTTCCTCTTTCCTGGGATCTTTGATGTACAGTTTGCTGTGTGCGAGTGTTTTTTCTTGGGCTGAACATTGAATTATCATGTTTTCCAGCTTTGAGCGAATACAGCATGGCTCTTCAACTCCATCCTGGAAAGAATTAACTTTTTCAGTTCAGCTTCTTACTTGATTTATTTGTCTGATGTTCAGTGTCCTTTTATAATAGATCTACATGATTGAGAGATATTTTCAGTTTATGATGGGAAATATTTATTTATACTAGAATGGCAATCCTATGATAATGCATGTACTATTAAGAAGTAACAATTATTAGAGTATTGGATTGAATTTTTACAATGTACCCAATTTATGTAGCACTCATCTATTGTAAGAAAGGGGAAGGTTTCCTTTGTGTTTTATGAAAGAAGCAATAATTAACCATTAATCTGTTTATTAAAAATCACACTTTTTAAACTGGAGTGGACATGATGGCGGTTCAAGAAGGCAGCGGAGTAGGACGCTTCAGTCAGAGCTGGTTTTCCATGTCCGTTCTTCATTTTTTTTCCTCTTGGTTCTTTTCTCTTCTTCTTTCTTGGCCCCCAGTGTCGGCTGCTGGCATCCAGTTGATTCCTGGCCTCCTGTGGCGGCATCCCGGCCTTTGTGATGACCTCCTGTGGTGGGCTTCTGGCCTGGCATGACGATTTCTCTGCCTGGTGTAGTGGTGTCCCACGCATAGGGGGCAGTCTCCCAGTGTGGTGTTCTTTCGTCCCGGCATAACAGTCTGGAGCAATGTCCGAGCCTCGCGATCCTCAAGGTGAAGTGCAGCACAGTCTGGAGCCAGGACAGACTGGAGGCTAGGTGCCAGCCTGGTATGGGTTGGAAGACAGCTGTTCTGGACTTTTATTTCTGCAAAGCTGGACATTTTATTTCTCTATTTTCTAAGGTCTTGTAACTAAAGAAGCTGTACCTAGGTACGTTTGTAAGCTGGCACTGTAAGTGATGACGTATGAACTTTTCACTGTACTCACTGAGTGTATGTGACAGAGTTAATTACGATCAATTCACAGATGAAACTTTTCCCCATTATAACTTTATATTTTAAAGTAAGTTTGTAAATAAATGGGGTGTGGCTTTTAGAAATGTAATTTCCCATAGTGAATGTTACAAGTTAAAATTAGATGCCAAAGATGCCGTAGGGGCGTGGTAGGTAGTTAATGAGGTGGGTTTGGTAAGGTGGGGCAAGAAACTTCTCTCTGCCTAACAGTGAGAAATCCTCCAAAAAACTCAATGCAACTCTTTCCTGAAGAAGCGTCCCGACCCAAAACGTCAACTTTCCTACTCCTCTGATGCTGCTGGCCTGCTGCATTCCTCCAGGTCCACGCTGTTTTAACAATGCAACTCAAATTTAGCTTATAAAAGACATTGTCCATAGTGCATTTCAACAGATGGGAATTTTTTCTTCAAAAATGTTTAAATCATCCTGAGATTTTCTTCATGTTCGCCTACTTCAGAGTTCACACATATTTGCTTTATGACATGGTAAGTCACATCTAAGTAAACGATGAAAAATGTGAGATAACTGAGAGAAGAAAGAAACAAACTTGGGAATAAATTTTACTTTTAGTAATGTTCTCCCTTATTTTCTTTTCCAGAACGTCCATGCCATTTGTCTTAACTAGTTATAAAGAAAGCTATTTCTAAATTTTCACCAAAACCATTTTATAGCTGGTCATGAAAGTTTTGTCCTATGCTTCATATCTCACTTCATATTTTCCAGTGATGAAACAGTTAAATTCAAAATGTAGCCTTTGAAGAAATGTGCTGTTACCCTATTTCTGGCCCTTGTGAAGCAAGCCACTGAAGGCAATCATGTTGTGCCACTGTGTCAGCTTTCATTCTCCAGGACTGTTAATTATCAGAAGACTTAAGCAAGAGGATTTTAACAAATTGTGTATCAATTTGCTTTCAACAAATTATTTTGAGCAAGGATTGTAGTAAGCCAGACTATACACTGTACAAAATGTAAACTGTTGATTGAATGTTTAATGCACTGTTTATTGTAGCAATTTGTTTTTGGGTCTGTCTATGGATTAGAGTGAGGACTTTGGTAGTATCTGTTCACTAAAGCTATTACAAGCAATGCACAATGGATGAATAAAGATGTTGAGGTTCTGGTCAAGAATAAAAAAAAATCATATATTAGGTGTAGATAACTGGGTTCAAATGAATCTCTTGAACAATATAAAGAGTACAGGGGCATTCTTAAGAGGGAGACCAGGAAGCCAAAAAGAAAAAAATGACATAGCCTTGGCAAATAAGGTTAAGGATAATCCAAAGAGATTCTACAAATACATTAAGAGCAAGAAAGCAACTAGAGAGAGAGTAGGGTCCTCTAAAGATCAAATAGGTTATTTTTGTGTTGAACCTCAGGAGATGAGAGAGACATTAAATGAATATTTTGTATTAGTTTTTACTGTGGAGAAAGAAGTGGAGGCTACAAAACTCAGAGAAATAAATATTGATGTTTTCTAAACAGTTCACAATACAGAAGAGGAAGATGGTTAAGTCTCCTGGACCTGATCTAGTGTATCCCAGGACATTGTGGGAAGTTAAGGAGGAAATTGCAGGGCCCCTTGCAGAAATATCTGTATCATCTATAACTGCGGGTAAGGTCCCAGGAAACTGGAGAGTGGCTAATGTTCTGCCATTGTTTAAGAAGGGATGTAAGGAGAAACCTAGGAACTATAGACCTGAGTGTCTGACTTTGGTGGTGGGTAAGTTGTGGATGGTTGAAAGGTGAGATTTATATGCATTTGGAGAGGCAAGGAATGATTAGGAATAGTCAGCATGGTTTTGTGCAAGGGAAATTGTGTCTCACAAACTTGATTGAATTTTTTTGAGGAAGAGGAGTGATGAGGGCAGAGCAGTAGACATTTTTTACTTGAACTTCAGTAAAGTCTTTGACAAGGTTCCACATGGTAACCTAATTAGTAAAGTTAGATTATGTGGCATCCAGGATGAGCTTGTCAATAGGATGTAAAATTGGCTTAATGGCAGGAGACAAAGTGATGGTGGAGGGTTGTATTTTGGACTGTTACCAGCGGTGTTCCACAGGGATTGGTGGTGGGGCCACTTCTGTTTGTTATTTACATAAATAATTTAAATGAGAATATAGGAGGCATTGTTAGTAAGTTTGACGCCAAAATTGGTGATTATAGTGGACTGTAAAGAAGTTTATCTAAGAATACAAAGACATTGTGATCAGTTGAGTCAAATGAGCAAGTACAGAGGATGAATGGCGGAGCAGGCTCGAAGGGCTAGACGGCCTACTCCTGCTTCTAGTTCTTATGTTCTATTAACCACTGCATACTAGCTTTAATGTAAGTGAGCGTGATGGGAGATTGGGTTTGTTGAAAATACCTCACATCATGTCAGGTTTGTCGCTCCTCATCAGTAACAAATTCACATTGAGAGTCCAAAGCAAAAAAGAATACGCGTTTAGTTGTAATATCTGATAGTTTATGCAACAAAAAATTCCAGTCCACGGACCTCAGAAGCTAAAACTTCTGCAAGCCTGCTTTCCACACACCAGCTACCTTCAGCTCATAAACTGCCCTAAATGTATTTCAACTTACTTCCAGCATTTAGCACAGCAAAGATCTCTTTAAAGGTCTAATTTTTTACAGTGCTGAAGCCAGACCTGTTTGAGAACAGGTCCTGAAGTGACTCTGTGCCCCAAGTCTCTTAAAACAAAGTCAACTGCATACTTGAACACCTATAATGCATCATAGTTGCATCACATGATTATATATTTATGGTTACATGTGTACATATATCTATTTAGAAGCTTTTAAGTGACTTTAGCTCTGAGATGCCCTTAAGAATTGGGTAATGCTTCTTTGTAGACTATGTTATCAGAGTTGAATGCTGTTCAATCTCAACATGGTGAACCGCCTCAGATTATATAAAAGGTGAATCCAATCAGAATGGTTAGGATTGCCCGACACCGTGGGACTAAACTTCTCACAATTCTATCAAGGACAAAATTATTGAGTTAACTCTACCTACGAGACTGAGGAAGAGGAAGCAAGCTGAATAGGATTTTTTTGTTATTCACTCGGGGATGTGGGCTTCACTGGCTGGCTGAGCATTAATTGCCCATCCCAAATTACCCTTGAGAAGGTAGTGGTGAGCTACAGCCTTGAACCTCTGCTGTCTGTTTGGTATAAGTATACCAAACTGCTGTTAGAGAGGAATTCCGTCCCCGCAATAAGAACCAAAAAAGAATCCCCCTCGTCCTCACGTACCACCCCACCAAC